ATATAAACCTAGAAATAAAACAATTAGCTAAGAAATAAAATAAAAAAAAAATCATTAACCCATCAAATATAGCAAATACATGAATTATTTCATTGAACCATAGCTTTAATGTAAGGGAAATACAAAATTGAACCATTGCTTTGCTTCTATTATACATTTTTACAAGTATCTTGAAGGGAATACAAAAAGCATATTTTATAAGCAAAACTCAATACCAATTATGATGGAGATTGAAAAAATTTGTAGGGCCAAGGCCCCCTAAACCGCCTTAAATCCATCACAAGTTTTCAAGAACATCCAAACGCAGTAAAAATATAGTTCCAAAATATTTTTGTTTAAATTGCTAACAAGCTAATGCATTTTTTACAAACATCTTGAATGCAATTAAAATCCAAAGAACAATTTGGAAAAAAAATCGTTAAAATCCAATTTGGAACAGTTTGGAACAGTCTCTCATTCTTCGGATTATTTTAAATGTAATCAAAAAATCATTTAGAATAGTTTGGAACATCTTATATCCAATCAAAATTCAACCATCTTAAACACTAAATAGTTTAAAATCGTTACCAAGTTCTGAAAGAACCCTTAAGTTGTAGTTTCAATAACTCTAGTTCAAAATTTTGAGATAATCTGAAATGAGATAACTGGTTGAACAAGTTGCCTTTTCTTAACCGTTAAAAAATTGAATGGTCATGATCAATTTATTTTAATCCAATGGCTACAAATATATTGCATATGGTGTGCAACCTTAAGGGGGCTTGCACACTCAAACACTACCCTTAATTTTATCAATTTAAACTTGTAATCTTTTGATTTTTTATTTTTTTTTTTCAATTTAAACCATTCATCTATTTTTGTTAAGTAAAATCTATAGAAAAAAATTATTTTAGTAATTTCACCCATATAGGTACACATGAAATGTTTAAAATATAGTGGAATTTTTTTTAAGGTCCCTGATATTAAGATTTTATAAGATAAATGACATAATATTTTCATAGTAGTTAAGGTCCCTTAACATTTTCACAAAGAAAATTTAATTCAGAGAAATTTTGCTCGACTTAGAGAAATTTGGCTCCGACTCAGAGAAATTTCAATTTTCATAGAGAAATTTCTCTGTGATCATACAAGAGAAATTTTGAAATTTTTCTGAGTAAGGGCCGAAATATTTCTAAGTCAAGCAAAATTTCTCTGAGTCAAATTTTCTTTATGAAATGTTGAAAGACCTTAGCTAATAATAATAAAAATAAAAATAAAAAACATTTTGGACCTCTCCTACTACACAAAGTTGGAGAGGGATGTTTTACTAATTTTTTCTAAAATATACTTTTCATTAATTTTATCACTATAATACTAATTTTTTTCATCCATTTTACTTAATGGAAATATGCAAATGGTTTAAATTGAAAAAAAAAATTAAGGTTTAAATTGACAAAATTAAAACAAATTAGTTTATTTTGTTACAAGACTCAAGACTCAAACCTTAAATTTTATTTTTTATTCTTTATAATTTTCTCTTCGTTTATTTATTTATTATTTTCTTGCCCACCTCCTAGCTTGTTTTACCTAAGGGCATGTCAGTCTTTTTATTAGACTATGCATTCTATTTTGTGGGAGCTTCTATATACACACACCCTTTCCTCTCTATACAAATCCTTCTCAATACACACACTAAAAAAATAAATCCTAATATATTTGACTCACTACACACACCTATCATTCCACAAATACCCCCAAATGTAAATCATATACACACACACCCCCTCACACACACACACACACCCGTGATAGACCCCTCACACACACACACCCATCTAAGAACCCCTCTCACACACACACCCATCTCTCACACTCTCCACCGTTCCTCCCCAAAAGCTTCATCCATCCATTTGTGTCATTGAAGTATTGGCATTGAAGGGCATTGAAGAGCATTGAAATTTTCACATTTTAGGTTAGTTTACACAGATTAGAATCTTCTCATTCCTATTTTATTTGTAATGTAGGGTTAATTTTTACCATTTTCGAAATTTTCAGTCCACCCCAATGTAAGTGATTGCCGTGTTTCATTCGGAACTGGTTATTCGAATTTTTGTTTTTGTTCGGCATTAGAGTTCCGAAATTTCTGCTTCTATTCGGCACTATAGTTCTGAAAATATTTACTTCGTTCGGCTTTCAAGTGCCGAAAATAATTTTTTTTTTCGGTTTTCAACTTCCGAATAGTAGCTATAATTTCGGACAACAACTTCCAAACATAATAGGTATTTTCGGACAATAACTTCCGAACACAATTTTTTTTTTTCCCCTTCTAACACTTAATTATAACACTCACTACACACACTCTCATTAATTTTACACACACTCTCTCATTATAATTTAAAACACTTATTATTTACACACACACTCTCATTAATTTTACACACACACTCATTACACACACACTTATAATTTAAAACACTCTCATTAATTTTACACACACTCTATTTATTTACACACACACTCATTACACACACTTAGTATTTTTTGCAGATAATATGGATTCTGAATATCAACAACGTGTCCCACCTACTACTTCAAATAGACGACGTCGTGAATTGGATGTAGACCATGAACGGGGACGAGGGCGTGGGCGAAGACGAGGTCAAGGTCGTGGTCGAGGTCGTGATCCAGTTTCGGTAGAATATGATATTTCCAGTGCCAGTCAAAGTGGGGGCCGAAGCCAAAGACGAGTTGAAGGTTATGATATGCCTTACATTGCTGTGGAGGATACCTCTTTACCTGATTCTCCTCCTGTCCAGGAAGAGTACCTTACTCATGCTTTTCCAGGTGGACCGACTGATCCGTCAATACTGCGGAGTTTCAATAGTCATGTGGCTGCAGCTATTTGGCACGGGGAGGTAAACATTCCTCAGTAAAACTGAAATTCATTTGTATATGAGTTTTTTTTTTTTGTGTGTGTTGTATGGTAGTTTGTAATGAGATATCATTTGTGTTGTAGGAACGAGGGCCCCTAAAGTGTCATAATCACTCTTCCAAGATCCTTGCATGGCCATGGTGGTTAGTAGAGAACAACACCAGATTCAAAGCCATTATTGAGCAGTCTGGACTGTCACAGTTAGCTCGTTGCACTTATCGGTTCGCCAACAAGCTTCTAATCTCATGTTTTGTTGAGAGATGGCAACCTGAGACGAACACATTTCACATGACAGTTGGTGAGATGACCTTAACCTTGGATGATGTTGGCACTATTCTTCGCCTTCCCATTGTAGGCAAATCAGTCAGCATACCAGATGTGACAGATCATCATGGAGTTACATTACTCGTTTATGGCTTGGGGATTACTGAACTTACAGCACATGAAGAGGTTTCTTCTGCTGGTGGCAATTCAGTCAGGCTTGAATGGTTGCGAAGTCAGTTTTCTGGTGTCACAAATTCAGACCCCGAGGAGGCTATACAGTGCGCTGCAAGAGCTTATTTATTGTTTCTGTTGGGATGTACACTCTTCAGTGACAAGAGTGGCGGCAGGGTTCCCGTTGTTTACCTCGGCTTGTTAATGGATTTGGGATCCATACATACTTATGCCTGGGGTGCTGCTGCATTAGCATTTTTATATCGACAGTTGGGGTTTGCTAGCCGGTCTGGGGTTAAGTAGACGGGTGGTTATATGACTCTTTTGGAGGTGTGGATTTATGAGCACTTCCGAGCATTCCGACCTCATCAGAACATGGGCTACAATGAAGACATGCCACACGTGTACCATTGGGCATCTATGAGAGAGGCGGGTTCCTCCATTGACCATTTGAAATCTTTTCGAGCCGACCTTGACAGTTTAGTAGCTACTGATGTAAGTTTACTCATCCTGCGATAATTTTAACACTTCCATTTATCTTACCCTTTATGTACTTTAATGCAAAAACACTTTACGTTTACAGGTTATTTGGGATCCGTACCACAACTGCAGAGACCGGCATCTATGTAACCCGGTTACGTTCTACCATGGATGCTTAAAGTGCTTAGACGTTGTCGAACCCTATCATCCAGATAGAGTTTTGAGGCAGTTTGGCAAGGTTCAAACCATCCCAGATGCACCGCTAGCTCCCAGTCGTGGTGCACAAGGCAACATATCTGCACGATATACCGTCATGTACAGATACTTGGATAGGATCTTGGAGGCTTGGGATAACCACGTGTTATCTGATCAACGGAGGAGCACACCAGTTCGTCAGCCTTGGCAATGTGTACCGGGTTATATGGATTGGTATAAGAATATCACGCACCTATATGTCGAGCACACTGATGAACCGCGTGTCCATGACCATCAGGATTTCAGCGAACATGCGGATGTAATCTATTATCCTCTCTGATGCATATGTAACTTACTTTTTTTTTTCTAATATGTTCCCTAAAATGTGATATTCTTTTCAAATGCAGCGTATTGCACATGCACTGCAGATTTCACATCCTATTATTGACGCTGGTTATCAGGAGGGGATTCGCCATCCTTATCGACTTTACCAGGCCATTGAGAGTATGACACATGTTCTTGAAGGTCAGCACATTGACGAAGCTGGACCTAGTTCTGCTGGACCTAGTTCCGCTGGAGGTCGCTTTCCATCTTTGACATTGACATACAGTCATAGGCCTAGGCGTAGGCATACAGCTGATTCGTGATATGTTATGTTGTTACATGTTATTTTATTAGTTAATGAATATTTTTTGGTGTTTTTTGTAAGATGACATTGTTGTAATGGTAACAGTGGTTAATATTTTCTTATTAGAATGGAATGGCAACAATGGTATTGTAATGACATTGTAATGACATTTTATTATTAGAATGGAATTGTAACAATGGTCGTTGATTTTGTAAACGATATTTTCTTATTACAATGGAATGGTAACAATGGTCAATAACATTCAATCCACATTGCAAAACACAACACATCAACATCAAAAACACATCCATTAATTTCTTCCATAATTGTAACATTGTCAAATGCATACATGTGTCATGCGACATCAACAACATCAAAAGTCTCTCGAGTAGCTACATTATCATGAATAATGTCCTTGAAATGTTGAATGCGATGCACATATGCATCATCCCAGTCCACAGCACAAGGGTGACGGTATTTTCTCCAATTAGTGGCAATAGGAGGAACTGGATGGCCTGGCTGCAACAAAACCTGCACCAAATATCAATTGACTTAGTGGTCATACCTCATAACTTCTTGTACATGCATAAACCCAATAGATAAGTTTCTGTTATACCTGGACAAAATGATTTCCGTTGACAAACCCAATGGCAATCTCACGTCTATCAAGTTGAGGTACTGGCACTATTCTAAGAAGTAAAAAGGTGAGACATTACTGTAAAGACAAGTGGTATAACACAAGATTGTAGCACGATGAAACAAGATGCCCCATGCCTAGCATAGTCATCCAATGTGAGTATCCAGGACTGTCTTCAAAGTATGACAATATGCTTGTCAATTCTTCAAACCTTTCATAGGACCCATAAAGTGTAATGTATTCCTCTTTGTGTGTGTGCAGCTCACCCAATAGATCACGCCTAACCTGAGCCCAATCATCTTCTATATGACCAATTGAAGCAGCTATAGCCCTGAAACCACAATTCCCATCTGCAGCTACATCATCGACAAACTTAATGTATGGTTTCAACCCAGAAGGGAAAGCATCAACATATGCACCAGGTTTCACTGCTCTAGTAATGTATACCTTCCCTTTCGGGTTCACCTTCTCATTTCCCTTAACAGGTCGCTTCTTCTTGGTTTGCAGAGTAGAAGCTAATGTAGTGATTTGAGTGTCCCTAGGTGAGAAGGAATCATGTCCAGATTGCACTAACTCAAATGCACACGGGTCACGACGGGTAGAAACATTGATCTTCTTATGATCCCGAGGACGTGTTTTGGGCTTCACCTCCGGCTCAACAAGAAAAGTGCTTTCCGGATATACAATCTCTTTCAACTTCTTCAAAAGCTCCAATCGCATGGTTCTATCACTTTCATTAAACTTGTTGACAAACAACTCTACTTCTGCATGACAAGTCACCTCTGTTTCCTTTTCTTTCTTGCATATGGAGATATGAAGTTGCCTCCACTGTGAGTGTATGGTAGCAAGTGGTATAGGACAATCTTGTCTGATGTAGTCAGCAATCTCATAGGTGCAAGGTAAACCATGAGTGTGGCGAAGGACGCATCCACAAGCTTCAACATCAATACCAATGGAATTGGCTCTCTTACTCTCGACAAGCAAATACTCCAATGCAGAGATAGACACATTCCCCCATAGCTCCCTGAATTGAGAAAGTTTAAATTGATGTTGCACAACAGTTAGACTTTTCTCAAATGAAGCCATGATATCAGTGTGTTGCAACTCAAGCAGAATGTGTATTTTCTCAAATGATGCCTGAAATGAGACTTGACATGAACCCAATTGTCTTTTAAGTTTTGCATGTGCACTCTCAGCCCTGTTCAATTCAATGTAAGTCAAGTTAAAATCAAGTACATGGCACTTATTAATAACATATTGAAGAAAAGTAATCTTACCGGTTCGTTGTAACATTGCCACAATGCATACACGTGTCTGTCCATGCCGCCACAAATTTGTCCTTGTAAGGAACCAACCAAGTATCTATGACATATTTGACTGCATCAGGATAACTACTGAATTCCTTAAGTAATGATTTAAGACGCTCCTCGTATTGAATTTCAGAAGATGAATACACTACAGAGTTCCACTCATGGTTGAACTTCTCCTATTTTTTCTGTGTCTCAAACATTTTCTTGCATTTGGTCAACACATTCTTACTGATATGCCAACGACATAATAAATGTCTGGCACTCGGAAATATCTTCTGTATGGCATTCATCAAGGCTAGCTCTCTGTCAGTAACAATACCTGTTGGCACAACAAACCCATCCATGACATCACGTAATGTAGCTAACACCCACATAGTTATCGACCCTCTCATACTGTAAGTATGCAAAAGCTACAGAGAATGTCATTTCAGTTGATGTCACTCCCACAATTTCAAGAAGAGGAAGCCGATAGCAGTTGGTTTTATATGTGCAATCCATAATTAATATACGTGGGAAAGACCGAAATAAGTCCAAACTGGTAGGATGTGCCCAAAACAAGTCTATCACAGTCATCGTGGACTCTTCAGACCGATGGCGCTCAATGTAATTATACTTGGCCAATTTACCCAATAAGTGTTGCATCTGTGATCTTCCAGCTCGCTGTACCACCCTGTTTCGATGGCGTACATTGTAAATGGTTTTAAGTGTGCTTACATTGAGGGCATCTCGCTGTTTCAAGGTTACTAGGATTTCTTTTGGCCGAACCATGCTCTTTGACATATCCATTAACAATGCTTTCTCATCCTTGGATAGCCTCCCCGCATATGAATGTCCCTCGAGGTGCTCCGCAGGTGGATGATTATGCAATCCGCATACCACAGTCAATGTCCATTCATCATATGTGGCAAACCTGTGAGCCCTCATATCAAAAGGACAACCACACTTCTTCGTACCGGTTATTCTTGATGTATTGTTGCCATCATGTTTTAACTTCTTTGTTGCTCTATATTGGCCACTCCTCTCACAAGCAAGATACATCCTGGGTCTTTTTTTCCCTCCACCATAGTCTGATGTTTTGATTACAATGACCAAACCATTTCTCTTTCCAACTTCACGTACCCAGTTGAGCAATTCATCCTTACTTTTGAATACCTACAAAGTTAAATAAATATTATCAAACATTTACATTTGGTGAGCAATTCAAAACATAATCGTTATAATTTCGTAGACTAAACCTGTTCTGTTGTGAATTGAGTGGTGTAATCTAACACAAAATCCGCACAAACCTGACTTCCTTGAGTTGACACATATTCCTGCATGTTTTGTATAACATTACAAATTTTTAATGGCATTATAAAGATTAATTTGCAATTTGAAACTGTAAATTTGGTATGCAGTTTGCAAATTTGGAATATAAAATGGAAAAAAAAAATTTACTTCATTCGGAAGTAGTTGTCCGAATTTTTTTTAAAATTTCGGAAGTTGAATGTTGTAAAAGTTAACTTTATTTGGACAACAACTTCCGAATTTAAATACATTGTTCGGACAACAACTTCCGAAATTTATTCCTTTGTTCGGACATCAACTTCCGAAAATACATAATTATTTCGGTAGTATATTTCTGAACCAAATAACACAATTCGGCTCTGGTTATCCGAATGACGCCCGGAAAAAAAAAATTAACTCACATTTCCTTCGCTCTGCTTCACATGAACACTTATTTGCTGATTTTCAGAAGGCAAATCCTCCGTAACAATGATGTTTTCCCTACGAATGACGAAGGTTGATGAACTTGGAAATGCCAAAGCCCTTTGGTTTCACTTCTAGCTCAATGAACATCATATACAAAAATTGATAGAAGGAGTGAAACCAATTTGGACAACCTTCGTCATTCACAAATTGATAGAAGAAGTGAAACCTATGGTGTCACTAGCTACACACACGATGCAACAGATGCAAACACTGCCCAAGAACTCTAAGGTGTGCATTGAGATGTTTTCAATTAACAATGGTGTCTAAAATAGTAATTTCACTTAGGGATAAAATTGTAATAAAATTAAATATCATTAAGTGTATGTATTGAGGGGATTAGGTGTGTGTATATAGAAGCTCCCCTATTTTGTTCAAATTGATTTGTGTGTTGCTTCTTTGAAACTGTGTTGACCCTCAGAGTCATGTCTTGAGCGCATCATTATCATATTTTTAATTTTTAGACATAAAACTAACGATTTACCTATTAAAAAAAAGAAAAAGAAAGAGAAATTTAAAAAAATAAAAAATTTCACTTATTTTCTTTTTTATCTTTTATAACTAGACTGATCTCCAAATCCAAATCCAAGTCCGGGGTACCCAAATGCAGCATTATTTTCTTCTTGACAAAATAGTGTTGCATTCACTACATTTCCTCACACATGCCACCTCTTATACCACAATTGTAAAACAAGTATAATGCAACGGGTACCTTAAGTGTTAGAACCTGAAGCGAAGAATCTCGTGGGTGAATGTGAACAACGAACCTAACAGTGAAGTGATACCACATCATGAGTATCACCCACACAAAATTATGGGTAAAAACCACATAACGTATATCATATTCTTCCCATCATATCAGATGTATATCATCAAATATATAACAATCAATATTTATCTATCCATCTATCCATAACTCTTGATAAAATATGGTAGATATAGATATTGATTGTGGGTTATCCAAATAGTTCAAATTCAAATTCAAACTTAAATAGATAATTTAATTGGTCATGGGTCATGCCACATAGGTGCCCAAATTCGGATCCAATACACGTCCCAATTTCCAACAATAATATTTTTAGTAGTCTACTCTAAGAGCTGCTCCCTTAAATACTAACATTTTTTACATTTGCTTATAGTAGACCGTACATGCGAGATTCACCCTTTGCCTTGCATCTGTATCTTATTATGTGAAAATCTTTTTTGTTCACAACATAACTGGGATAGGAAAAACATCCTCACACATCTTGGGAGACTAGGCAAAAAAGGAGCAACACCGTAGAAGCATTGCCTGTAGATACACCCATTGTTGTTGTCAAAGAAATTTAGGGGTCTCATTGAAGTCTTTGATCAAATGTTTCCAAAATCATAACATCATTGGCAAGTAACATTTGGATTATTTGTTCATATATACATAGAAATTATTTTACTAGGTCGAACCATGATTACAAATACATGAACAGAATTTAAGTCTATCTAGTAACCATCTAGCCATGATACAGATACAAGGGTTCAAAAAAACATGAATAGACACAAATCTGTCCACTCCAACAAAAGGAAATAACATTGATATGATACTACATTATATGAGTTATATAAGTTCCTTACATTTCCTATCTTATTTACGTGATTGGCCTCTAAGAAAGCGCCATGGCCCGGTTCCAGTCCCAATCCTGAGAATGTGAAAACATAATGAATGGTCAACTAGACGTGGTTTTTTTACCATATAATCAAATATTAAAGCATAATTGTGCTTATACCAACCAAATTTCTACCACTACTTTTCATAATCACTCTTATATAATAATACCGAATTTTACTACGTTTTTTTTGTTCATTTGCTATGTGTAAAACTACTTTTATTCCACACCCCTATGAACAAAGAAGAAAGGGAAACACAACTTGTTAACAAAAAGAATAATATAAAGAATGGCTTCTGCATTTTATAAGAATTTCATTTCAATATCAAATTTAAACAATTTATATTATCCGTAGGTTTTTCTCATTTGCACTAGTATGATATTTAAAAGTATTGTATGCAAGTTCTTGCTTATTTAATTGTTAAAAAATTGATTAGTATATATATATTTTTTTATTTATTATTTATCCTTGTGAAGTATGGATATAAGACACATTTAGGATATATCAATTCGATAAATTCTGAAAAAGTAAGGGATGGTTTTAATCTCACTATATATATTTTCCTTCAAGAAGTTATTGAAAACATTATTCTTGTTAAAATTGATGTATTATTGATGTTAAGTGTGTGTTTATTACAAATGGTGAGGGGCTCTTTATATAGGAGAAAATACAATCCTTACAGACAATGGACAATGATGGCTCATGATGGAAAGTGAAGCACTAGCACCTAAAGGCACCGAAAGGGAGGCTCACTATCTACTAATATATTATATACTCTAACAAATATGAATATTGGTATTAGTATGATACAGATACGTCAATATGGTAAAATTTTTTAAAAAAATTAGGTATACATACATCTTGGTACGTTTGTTAAAAAAAATTTATTTATTTTTAATTTAGAGTAGTAAAAAATTGATTAAATGGTTTAATTTTTTAAAATCCAATCTATAATTAGGAGTGGTTTGGAATGATCTAAATAAGTGTACTTTTTGACTTTTTATGAAATATGGGTTGGATTTGAACTGATGTGAGAGAGAGAGGTGATGTGACTTAAATAGGATGATGTGACTTAAATAGGATAGTGATTTTTTGACTTTTTTAAGTTATGACAAGCAAATTTAATGCCAAAAGTAAAGGTATAAATCAAAATTAAATTCAAAAAAAAGTAAGGTACGTATAAGTTTTGGTATGTTTGTAAAAAAATATTTATTTTTAATTTGGAATAATGTAAAAATTAATTAAATGGTTTAATTTGTTAGGATCCAATCTACAATTAATATTTAATGTCAAAATAAAGATATAAATAAAAATTAAATATTATTATATTAAGTAACTTTCAAATCATAAGTTAATTTTAAAATCATACTAAGTATAAAACTAAAAATGAAAAAGAAATTTATTGAAATGAATTTTATCTTGTAGTAAAAGAAAATATTGTTTCGACTGAAATATGGTACGGCTTGAGTATGTAATAAGTACGTCTGAGTCTGCCAAAAATTAAGAAGAAAAAATTTAAGTATGTATTTCGTGTACCCAGTACGTATGTAGGGTACTATATAAAGTATCATATACCGGTAAGTATCTTGTACAGGTACAGCATATTTTTTATAATATTCAAACTTTATAGCAACTCGCTCTGCCCAGACCCCGTTTGGCAGGAGCCTTGCGCACTTTCATTTTTTTTTCATTTGTTTTTGAGTCTAATGTTAGTTTCAAATTCATCAGAGACCCTCTTCAACGAGAAGGGACCTTCATCGGGCAAAGAGAGACATTGGTCGGTTCGATGAGAGCAGAAGAGTTGCAGAGACCATAAAAGCCCAAGCAGAATCTGAGCTTTCCAACGCGAAGAAGACAGTGACGGATCTGACTTCAAAAATTGAAGAATCCAATTTGAAAGCAAAAGCGCAGAAGCATGACCTGGAAAGGTTGTGGAAGTTGAAAAGGGGGGACGAAAAGTGGGCATTGGCTGTTGGGAACCTTGAGAACCATAAGTATGCAGAAGTGATGAGAGAATTGGAGTATGTAAAGCAGGAATTGAGTAAACTCAAGCTTGACATGGCCTCTGTTTTAGAAGAAAGAAATCGAGCAGAGAAGGAAATCGCAGCCTCAAGTTCAAAAATCTCATCTTATTTGAGCTCTGCACAAGCGCTTACAAAAGAGATTGAGGAGGTAAACGAAGAACACGTGCTGGTAGAGTTGGCTCGGATTGAGGCTGTCAAAGAATTAGGAGCCATTGAAGCTCAAAGAAAGGAAGAAGCTGAACAGTTCCCTTTTACAATGGAGAACACCAGAAAGAAAATAAGTGATGTACTCCAAGAAATTGACTGCGCAAAAGAGACTGAAATGAAACTGGCCGTCACAACATCTGCTGGCAACGTGTTACAGAATGAACTAGTGCTGGCTAAGGGAATGGACAAAAGGGTCCAAAGAAAAGAGAGCTTTAGGCATCTCGAGGGCAGTTTTCGTAAAGGAAAGGAATTGGAGTCTCCATTGACGTTACAGTCAATCACAGAAGAATTGGAGGCAGCGAAGAAAGAATTGGTATCGATTAGAGAAGAGGGTTTTCAGTTCATGGCCTCCATGGATGTCATAAGAGATGAGCTCAAACATATATCTCAAGAAACAGCAAGATTGAAGAAAACAGAGGAAAAGGCAGATGCTACTGTTCAAAATCTCAATTCGAAGCTCCTCAGGGCAAAAGCAAAATTGGAAGCTGTATCTGCGGCTGAGGAAAAGGCAAAAACAATGGTATCCAATCTATCCCTCACTCTGGAACAATTGAAAACAGTAGCAGAGGCAGCGAAAAAAGAGAGGGAGCTTATTTGTGAAGAAACCAGAAACATAAAAGCAGAAGTTCAGAAAACCGAGTCTGAGATTGACTCAGCAGAAGAAAGGTTTCAAGCTGCAATGCTAGAGCTTGAAGCTATTAAATCGTCAGAAGCAATGGCTCTTGAGAACTTAAAAACTCTCACTGAGAATACAATGAGGTCTAGAGCTTCTGCATCTCAGCACAGTTCCACAATAACAATCTCAAAATTTGAATACGATTACTTAACCGGGCGTGCAGTTGGGGCAGAAGAAATTGCACATAAAAAGGTTGCAGCAGCTCAGGCATGGATTGAAGCTTTGAAGGCAAATGAGAAGGAGATATTAATGAAAACAGAGATGACTCAGAGAAAAATAAGAGAGCTAAAAGTAGAGGAAGAGCGAGAAACCTACAAAGCAGAGAAGTCAGTTTCTGCTGGGAAAGTGGTTGAGGGAGAGTCACGGAATTGGAAGGAAAAACAAGAGAAAAACTCAGAACCTGAAAAGTCACGGCTTGAGGGGACATTGCCTAGAAAATCCATGAAAGAGAATGGGAGTTTAACACCAGCAAGAAGGGCGAAATATAGAAAATCTGCATCACCTGTAATTCGGCACATGACTAAATCGGGTTCTGTCACTGTTAGGAGGAAGAGAAAGGTTATGCCAAATATAGCCAAGTTCTTTAATAACAAGAGCAATGAGACGGATCGATGAGCTTTTGAAGACTAGATATCAACACTCGTGCATATGCACTGCATCAATTTGATTCCAGTCAATAAAATGAAATTACAAATAATTTTTTTATCACAACTTGGAAGCTAACAACTTGGTCGCCAATTGTTTCTCGAAGTGCTCATCTTCTATTTTTTCCTTCCATAACCTAAAAAGTGTGAAGTTTAGTGTGTGAGAACTCCATGTAAAACAGTAGAATTTGTGTGCTGTGCCAATAAGTAGTCGAGAGTTCATCAAAATTCTCAAAGGTTCTGATATGATCTAGTTTGGGGATGTGTATTAATTCTATCTTGGCAAGTGATTTTTTAGCCAAAAAGTTAAAAAGTTACTAAAAAAATCAAAAAGCTAACAACTTATATCAAAAAGTCAAAGATTTCTTTTTCTCTCTACTTTTTGTATATTTTTTTGTAAAAAGCTAAAAAGTCATCCTAAACATACTAGTTTTTTTTTACGTCATATTTTAGCTAAAAAGCCAAAAAATTACTAAAAAAACTTATTCCCAAACGAGGCCTAAATTTTGTGTTTAGCTAATTCCCAATCATCAGCCCTCAAATCAACCAAAACCAATCACCTCAACCAATTCAAAATTTTGCAACATTCACTCAGACAGAATCAAAGAAAGGAAGCACATTATGAATGCATGTCGCCATTGGAACAACAACTATGAGACAATTGAAATACAAAATGATTGTGTTATAAGCCATAATTGAAAGGAAAAAAAACAAAAACTTTAAAACATATGTCCAGTGTCTTACCCAAAATTTTAATCATTTGATTCATTTTGCTTGATGTAAGCCATGCCTGTCAGTTTCCCCTCAGTCAAAGGCATCATTTTGTTGATCGAGTAAAACTAGGCTGTAGGCTGTCCACATAAGCGACTACATACAACGGCGAATGAATTACAAGATCCTAAATTGCTGCTTCTCAATGTCCCATGAATAAAGCTCTCCATTCTATTCTCTTTGCAATAGAACAAGCACTCTGTTAATCCCAACACTAAACGGAAAAGGGGGAAGGGGGTATAGAGAGTTGAACTTTCAACATGATGTGCACCACATCAAACACCAACCACTGGACTGGGCGGCAAGCTCAAAGAACATAATATGTTGGTCCCATTAACAAGGGTGTTGGGAGGGGTAAGGTTAAAGACAGCCCTAAAAGCCATTTGAAAACTAGACAGTAGGCTCATCTAGCAATACTAGTAATAATGCCTGAATTTCGGCATGCACTTGATTATCTCGAGTTGATATGGTCCACCATTCCAGACAATCCGTCCCTATACACAACCAGCAGAAGCATCCATTCCAGTTCATATTAAGGAAGTCAAAATGTAAAATAAACCTTTGGAACTATCAGCCCAGAAGTCTGCAGCTATATTCACGGGTGACCAACAAGAGACACTTGAGCAGAAAAAGGGAAGTTCTTATGTAGATCAATAACTGAAACATTTAATGAACAAACAAATACTTGTATTGTTGTATACAACTTTCACTACATAATCTCATACATTCCATATCCATCCAGGAAATGAACAACATAACACACTCAGAAAAAAACAAAGACAATCCACATGCTTATTTTTTCTTAGACACACAACATAAACAGATAACAAATAGTGAACAGTAAAGGAACAACAGGTAAAATAGGCAAACATCTCCTACAAAATTGCTTCTTTCAGAGCAACAAAACTTCATTGCGGCTGTGGGGTTCCAACCTGCTGCTTAACATTGTCTGCGTGCGGCTGCTTCGAAGCCTCTGATAACAGTAGTGTTCCAGCATTATTCATGGTTTGGAACTGTGAAAGCAATGCAGGCACAGAAGGTTGAGTTTTGTATATTGGATTGTATGCAAGATCATCCTCGTATTCATTATCGTAATTAGCGGTAGCTATTGCAGCAGTGGCAACAGATTGGGATGGATGAGGTGTCTCAGAAAGATCCATCAATGGTTGAAGGTTTTGATTAGATGGTACTTGAACGAGTGGGGTTGCTCCCACCACTGTCCTGTAAACTTTTGTGGTCAATTCAGGTGCCATGACCTCTTTATAAGCTGCCGGAGGTGTGATAACGGATGTAGGAGGAAGCATTTGGGGTTGACTCGGAGCAGTAGTTGCAGTGTCAACTAAATTACATTGCATAGACATATTATAAGATTGTGGAGGCCTAACAGGCATTAAGTAAACTGGGTATGGCTGATTTGTCTGATAAGGGTTATGTGTCTGCTGCTGAAGCATAGTTGAATAATACATGGGATAGTAAGATGAGACTGGCATGGGGCCTGCAGAGTATTGAGGTATGTAATGGGCACCTGCTTGAATATATTGTTGTTGGTGCTGCATCTGCATCTGATCTGATTGCAAAGATGCTTGATGGACGGGAACTTGAACAGTTTTCAGCATCTGAATTGCAGACGCCGGATCACTGACAATATTCTCTGTTTCCACAGCCCGAGAATAAACCCTGGTTTCCATTGAAGGAACATGTTTTTTGTTTTTTTTTTTTTTTTTTTTTTTTTTTTTTTTTTTTTTTAACCCTTGTTATCTTTTGAGCATGGAAATTTACTTAAACCCTTTGGAGATGAGAATGTTTAGATTTCGTTTCACCCCTAGGATTTGGATGATGGAATATTGATTGGGGTTTAGAACTAATTTAATATTTAATTGTCCAAATTTTAGGGCGTAACATTCACCGTAGACACACAGGCTAACTTAATTCTGCTTTAACACCCCCTCACAGCTTTACCACTTTATTTACCTTTTTCTAATAGCACAATATGTGTGATTCAAATATTGTTTTCCGAAATAATGCAAACATTCCAAAACATAATACGGGAATTTCCAAAACCTCTTTCCAAACATTCGGTTTCAAATTCAAAAAATCCATTACATGCTCCATGATATGAATGATTTCAATTTGCCTAATCCACAAGTAGTTTCTAACACATGGTAATGCTATCCTCCAACGATAGCTAAAATAGTTATCTCTAATGTAATAATTAATAGATAACAATACTGATATATTTTTCCAAAAGAGTAACAATACTCATTTTCAAAATCCCACAACCATTTCCTTTCCATCTCTTTCCAACCAAACCATTTACAAAAATATCAATCCAACTCCCAAAACAATATCATTTAGGGTTTTTCTATAAATTCGGGCTTTTCCCCTTTTAGAAATCCATATGCAATTTGTATATCGAAAATAACCATAGTAGCATAACTATAGCCCAAAAACCCCAAATTTCACAAAACCCTCAAGCCCAAAATACCATTTCAAAATCAACCAAATGACTACCAAATATAAATAATAAAATACGCCACAAATATGCTACCAAACTCATATTGAGTTAAAGAAGTAGACCCTACCTCAACTCCAGAAGAGTAGAAAGCCAAAAAGCCCAAAAGGCTAACAGAGACTAAAACACGATGCTCTTGGATGAAAAGAAAGCCCTTGATGAGATCTACAACCTTTGTCAAATGACTAAGGTAAAAAAGATCTCTCTAACCGAGTAGATCTAGACATCTATGTGAGAAAAGTTGAGTTTAGAGAGAAAATGAAGAGATTCACGGGTCAAAGAGGGGAGAGAGAGAGAGAGAGAGAGAATAAATGAATGAGGAAAGTGTGTTTGAAGTCTATTTATAGTGGTAAAACAATTTCCCTAAAGTTAATGAAAAGAATAAGTCAAAACCCCCCAAAAGTAGGGCTCGAACCAAACCCAAAATTCTGGAAATAAGTCGCAGGGGTCGACCCGCAAGGCAGTGGTGTCAACCCTCAAGAACAAATGCTGAGACACCTATGTTTGTAGCAAACAAGAGGGTTGACCCCATAACCCATGGTGTCGACTCCAAAAAATAGCAACAACACCCAGAACACAACAGCAAGGTGGTGTCGACCCCAAGAAGACTGGTGTTGACCCAAAAAACCAATAAAGAAACCAAGAGTAAGACAACAAGGTGGTGTCGACCCAGGAACTCATGGTGTCGACCCCAAAAGCAAAATCAAACATGAAAGGAAAGAAGAACGACCGCTACAGATGTGGATTGATGAATTTAAAAGCAATAAATGGTTCGAGTCTAAATCAAGATCGCTATAAGGTTTCCCGTTGAGTTAGATGCCTTAAATTAAAGTTAAAACAACTTAACAAGATAGTAATATCCATATAAGCCTGAGCATCGTCAAGTGAAGCAGATAAGGAACATAACCATAACACATGCAACATCATACCAATACATGATAATATACAAATAAGCATATTCATGAAGACAAGAGCTTAGAATACCAATGCAAAACTAAATTTATAGATTCATGTACCATTTAAAGATTAAAAACAAAATGACCATTTTAGATTTTTCCCAAGCCTGGCCTTCCTATGGTTCGTAGAGAATGTTATCTAGTTTTTAGAACATTTTTCAGAAATGGAATAGCTTTTCTAGATTTTTAGTTATGCAAGAAATACTCCCGTGCTGTCCAGATTCGTCGACCATTACGAAAATCGTATTTTTTTAACAAATCGGTCACACTTTTTCAATGAAACAAATTTTGTTTGAAAGCTATCTCTTTGAGGAAGTTTAAAAATGAGATCCAGGAGAGTTTTCTACATTTTCTAGAATTTTCGAAAGTTGGCTGTAAACACTTGTTTTTTTATGCATAATACTGAAAATAAGAAGATTGGTGATAAAAAAGGCCAACTAAGGGAAATTTTTCAGTTCTTTTGTGATGAAAACATACTAAATAATGTATCAGTAACTCAGATTTTTAGAGAGATGGTGTGCATTTGGAAATGATGTGAGATATGGGAAGAAAAAGGTAATTTTGCATTTATTAAGAGAAAATATGAGTAGAAGAAGGATCAATGCTCAACTCATCAACTTTGAACACGTGAACACCATTACAACACGCATGAAAATATGATTATGAATTTCTAATAACATGTGTTTGAAAAAGGAAATAGAAGGAGAGCTGGCGATGTGGCTTACTTGAGGCTTGGTTGAATTGCTAACAAAACCTTCTCTTTCTCTTCTTTCCTTCACCAAGCTCTCTTTTTTGCTCTCTCTTTCCTCTTAGCTGAATATGTAATTGTGCGAGTGGTTTTGAGTCCAAAAGTGTAGAGAGAATTGGTGTATTTATAGCAAAATTGGTGTGAAAGGTCCAAATTACCCTTTCGATGGAAATGGATTGGACATTTAGGATTTAGTTTGAATTCAATGGAATGTAGGATGATTATGAAGCCTAATTTTCTACCCATACATGATTTAGTTAGGGTTAGGGCTAGGGCTTAAGTAAACTAACTTGGTAGAAGTACAAGACATATACATAGTGTATTTGTACCTTGGTCAAATATTCTTCCTAATATCAAGCAAATTTGTCTCTAAAGTACATATATATATATATATATTCAAGGGGAGTGGCCGATCCATGTGGGGTGGATTTGAGGGGATTTTTTCCTTGATATTTGTTTACAAATGGTATCTAATTGGAAGATATTTGTGTACAAAATAAATCTAAGGTATAAATATGTATATAATGGTACTAGTTTGGGGTCAAAATGTGATTCAAGAAAAATATGAGGGCCAAAATCTTAGTTGCTAACATCTGCTGGGGGAACCACGGATGCCGCTTTTCTTCCTAATCATATTCACAACTTTCCTTATTCTTCAACGGGGTGACAACTAGGTTGGATCAGTATCCAGGACTGAGGCGCAAACCTGCTACCTCAATCTATGGGGCTTCCATACAGATTTCAAGCTAGGGATACACCCTTGGGTATTTAAACCAGACATTAGTCTCGGAAATTCCAAACCTTTGTGTTCTAGGCAACAACCATTCGAACTCTAGTTTCCACCGTCACAGTTGATCTCCTAGGAATTCATTGCAAACACAGCCAAGATACCCTCCGGAAGGGACTGGTACTCAGGGAGAGCACTTCTGATCGCCGTTTTGGTGTCGAAACAATCAACACAGTATCCTGTTCACTTTGAACTTACATCTCGTACGACACACTGCTCATTCTGAACACACAGCTCATAACACAGTACTCGGTTTATTTCGCACACAGTTCATATAGCACACAACTCATTCTGAACACACAGCTCATAACACAGTACTTGGTTCATTTGGCACACAGCTCATATAGCGCACTGCTCATTCTGAACACACAGCTCATAACACAGTACTCGGTTTAGTTGGCACACAGCTCATATAGCGCACTGCTCATCCTGAACACACAGCTCATAATACAGTACTCGGTTTACTCCGAACACACAGCCCATAACAGCACACTGCTCATTCTGAACACGTAGCTCATTCTGAACACGCAGCTCATTCTGAACGCACAGGATGCAATGACGGAACTTGCAGAAGTTGAAACACACTCAGATGCTCCAAATTTTCCTTCTTTTCTTTTGATTTGCAGCCTGGAACCTATATAGCTTCAGATAGGTCCTGGTTTCACTATTCTGACATGACCTGGGTTAAACCCTACGGTTTTATGAAAGAACGAATCCTGTTTTGCACAAATGTGGAGAATGGGACAACACTCTGAGCACAAAACGATTTTATTTTGAAATTGAGAAATGAATTCTCGACCGGGTATTGAGCCTACGACTGAACACGGCGAAAAAGACTCAACAACGGAAAATAAAGGTAAGAAACTTAAACACATCGAGAAACATTCGAAACAACTGAAAGCAAGAATCAAGACAAACAAAAGATACGACACTTAGATGTATTCGAATAGCAGGAGACCTCTCGGTTCACAGGGAGCCAGTTTCTCCGGTTATTGTTTCCCACCCTTTCTAATTTGTGTTTCTCACGTCACTCGACCCTCAGGCTCTGTTTTTTTGAAAAAGCCCTTTTCTCACTTTTTTCTCCTAGCACACATCTCTCTATTCTTCAATCTCTCCTTTTTTATCCCTGCTCTAGGTGGTTGATGGATAAACAAGATGTTGCAGGCTCTTGCCCTTAGCATGTTGCTGGATTCTCATTCTTCTACGCACAGCAAGTGAATTTTCCCACAGAGGAGTTGCGACAGGATGTACGGTAGTTCCATAGCGGACAACAGTTGGCAACGCCCTTGGCCAGTGTGGATGTGATCATACCTGTCTGGATGAGGGAGTGGAATATCCTTATCCATTCCAATTTGTGCTTCGCAATTAGCTTGATATCTCACTACTTGGAGGGTGAGAGAGCTTCCAGCGCTTGGCTGTTGGCTTCAGTGGTGCCTTTCTCTGGCAAGTAGAGTGCCTCCTGTCAAATAGAGTACCCTCTGGTAAGTACGTTGACAATGGGGAAAAGACAGAACACCTGACTCAACTGCGCCCCTAATTCATCATTTTGACCATTTTTTTGTTGTGGTTTCTACTAAAACAATTTTGACCAATATGAGAGTTAGATTAACACATTTGTTCGATTTTCTTATTTGAAATCATGCAAGTTAGGCTACGAGCACTGAAAATTTCCCTTTTTTGGGGTC